GTTTTCCTGCTTCTACAGACAAACTCACCATGAGTGTCCGTGTTGACGAGAGTTAGGATAGACTGCGACTTTCGGTCTGTGCATGCTAAAGTTATTCTGTTCTACATGGCGTCTCATTTTTTGGTAATAAAATTTAGAATTAATTTTACTTGTAATTTCCTGTTTAAATAAGCAACTAATGGTATACCTTCAACTTTTTAATAAATTAATTAGATATACCACAGTTTAAAGCCCCCTTTCTAATCCCTAATTTGATCTCAGCCTCATTAGCTGTGAAGGAAGGTATCTAGATTCAAATAATATCTCAGGTGGTATGGGACCTTCATATGTAAAGGCAACTAGACCTAAATTCGCCCTTACTCCAGAACTAGGTGCGTTAAATTATAATTTTATATTCATATTACAAGCTTTGTGCCATCAATGAGTAAGTAAATCGCTTGAAAAACCAAGTCAATGGCGGGTATAAACTATTCATGTAGTAAATTTCATTCAAGCTATGCAGAAGAGGAAAATTATTTTTCTGAAGCTAATGAAAAAATTCACATTGGACTAAAAGCAACTTGTGGTCTGGCCAACATGTCTGAAACTTGTTGAAAATCGATCTGTTCCTTTAATTCTTGGGTATATTGTACTCGAATTCAAGTTCTTGTCTAGGATGATCCATCTGAAGCATTTTCAGTTCTTCACGGATTCCAACTCAGTGACATTAGTTAGGGGGAATGTGTATTCATAATTATGCAATCAGGTGTTTAGATCCAAAAATAAGTGGGACCGTCGGATATACAAAGGGTGTAATTAATTATTTAGCTCCCCAAGTCCTATAAGATTAATATCTCCAAATCCATTCTACACTTGGTCTTTCCTTTGGTCACAGACGGCTGTTGATATATCACTTCAAAGATTCTCTTCTCAAAATACACAGTGCTGTTCTTCCCATGTCTCGATATATTCATGCACCCACATATATCCACCAATCGATCAATCAATACTCGTCCATTCCTGCATTTTAGCTCCATTTGGCTTCGACCATGCCATTTCACATGAAACTTCATTGTTATTTTTCGTGTATAGACTACCAGTCACGAAGGGCTTTTAGTTTAATTTCCCCACAACCATATGAATGGGCCTCATATTTCACCTCATTCAAGTTCACATAGTCTTGCTTTACAACAGGTATTCTCGTCCAGAGCGAACTGCATTTTCGGCCACCAATCTATCAATCTATCTTTATATCCGTCCATTTATGCATTTTAACTCCATTTGGTACTTCATCGTTGCGTCATAACAAGAAGAGCTTTCGCATTACAACCTAGCCCTTTTCTGAGTTAGTACTAGGTACGTGAAATTCTGGGGCACAGTAGCCTAGTAACCAGACGATATATGCCCGGTTGGTTTTGCAATAAATACGAAAATTGCCTTTTGGAGGAGGGAATGACGGAACCATCCTTACATTGATGAACTTTAGAGGACAGCCCCATTATTTAACCGCCCATTTTTATTAGGAACTCAGTAGCATGCCTTCTGCTTCTGATTGTAGTTATTCGGTATGTTTTTGTTGTCCTTCACGTTATATATATATATATATTTGCACAAGTCCACAGAAATTTTTATCTAGACGCAATTATGTATGCCCAAAAAATTAATTTCTTTAAGTTCCCCCTCAAATGCTCGGCCAATCAGTCGTTTTCAATCCAATCTCATCGAGCAACGAATTCCCAAGTGAAAAGATCAAGAATTCAATTTTTGATTTACCCCTTGTTCCTCTAGTTATGTATACAGTCCGGCCACTCTTTAAACCCGCCGCTCCAGCCCCCTTAGCCATGACGACGGTACCTTTTCGCTTTAGATATCTCTCCTACACAGACAGCGGAAGAAGTGCCAGACAAATTTGTCCCTCCGCATGGCTGACTGGCAGACTCGTTTGGATGGCCCTACCCGGGTGGGCAGTTTGCGAGGTGTATCGATGAGGAATGAGGGAATATTTGATAAAATTTGTAACCGGTTGAAAAAATCGGCGACGGAGACAGAGTTGAGTGTAAACGAATAA